GTACTCTGAAGTGTAATCTAAACTGGATTTCCTGGGTTTGTAATGCTTAGTTTTGGATTAACAATTGCCTGGCAGTGTTTATAACTCTAAACTGCTGATACTTGCTTTCAGGTATAATCCCAGTTTAATGCCTTTTTTGTTTTGGAATAGAGAGAGGGATTAATAGGAATCTGTGGCATAAAGCAGACGTGAGTTTTTACGTCCTTTGGTGTCTGCAAATGGCACTGATTCAGCTTTTCTTCCTGGGAAACATTTCTGGTTCTTCATAGATTTTTGGTTGTATCAGTATCCCACAGCACCTTTTTTATCATATTAGATGGTGTAGTAAATGTCATTCTTATGGACTGACAGTGTATAAAAATCAGAATAAGAGGAATAAAGAAGATAAAATGAAGCATAAACGGAGGAGTTCTAAGTGTCCTTGGCCTTTCACAGTAGCTAAAGATACTGATTCAATTAGAGTTTTTTGCTGTGGCAGAAGTTTCTCAGTGAGCAAGAAACCTGATGGAGGGAAAAGTCTCAGCTTTTCTAGAGGGTGTCTCCAAAAAAATGAAGACAGAGGCATGTGAAAGAGAAGGAAGGATGAAGACAGGACTGAGTAAGGCAAGCTGGAGCACTTGATTGAATTGTAGCTTTGCACTGGTGAGTTTCAAATCTAGGAGCAAGCCACACAGGTAGAGTATGAGAGTCATAGTATCCTCCCGCTGAAACCGCACACGTCCAGAACTCCACATGTCTCTGTCACACCAAGGTCAGCAATAGGAATGCTGCATCGCTATATTGTGTCACTTGGGACATGTTTACTTCTCTATGAAGCTTCCATCTCATACCACCAGTAAATGCTGCAGATGAAAAGAGTACATGAACAGATTTGCTGTGTGGGGAAATAACTGTGAAGTGAGCTGGGGTGCAATTTCTGCATGTGCCTATCTGTAGCATTCCACTTTCACAGGAAAATTAACTATTTCACACTTCTTGTCTGTGAGAGATTTCTCAGAGGGCTTCTCCCTAGCATCTAGAGTGCTACAAATTCATCTTTAGCTCATGGTGATGTCTTTCTGCAGAGAAAACAAAAGACAATTTTAACCCTCTCTAGTGGCAATAGAAATGTTAAAACCACTTTGAGAGGAGCATATGTACATGAAAATTTCTGTAAAAGCCTATGCATCTCTCTTGAGACTTGCTTTTGAGGTTTTCCTCATTATCACTGACGACAGATGTGGTATTGTTCATGGTAAATATTTTGTTCCAGTTATCCATTGTATGTGGATGTCTTTCATAAAATATAAAAGGCAATAGGGAAATCTGTAGGAGATACTGCCTGCCTGGTACCTGTGCTGATTCTTTCTTTTTGGGAAATGAATGCTTTGGTTGGGATTGCTGTGGTTATATGCAAATATAATCACTGATGTTTTCTTATAAACACTTTTCCTTCCTAATTCAAACAGATACTTCCTGAGCCTGAAACACAAGGTAGTAGCTCTACTAGAAGAAAAGGAATTTGGAAAGAGAAGGACAGATATGCAGAGTTAGTGGATACCTAAGTTTGAGCTTCACTGCTTTCCCAGGTGAGTGAGGCTGTAGGAAATAGGACATTGGACTTGTTTAAGTGTGAAATAGCAAACACATGCCCAGTCTTTTAGTGAAAAATGCAAACAAGTGAGTAGGAAAGCTACTTATGTGAATATGACACATGCATGGATGTCTGGAAGACAGGTCTCTCAGCAAGAAATCTGGCTGCCTCAGGGTGCATTTTGTGAAAGGCCTTTAAAATGAAATGGGTTGGTTGGCCCAAAGGGTGAAGTTCCCCCACAGACTGTCTCCCATGACCTCGCTATGCTTTGAGTGCTGGTTTAAACCCTTTCCCTTTCACTATCCAAATGCAAAAATAAGTGCAAGTGGAAAAAGTGCTCCGTAACAGCTCTCTAGCTAGCTCCTGTTCTCATTCTTTCAGAATAAACTAATGATTTTTAGCTAAGAACTGTACATGTTAGGGATGAGTCCTCAGTTCTTAGGGGTGAATATTTCCAAACAAATCCTCAGTTTTGCTTTCTTTTTTCCTCTGATGAATCATTACCTGTATTCTGGAAAGCCTGTGGTAGCTTTAGATTGCTGATTTTCAGGGTTTTTTTCCTTTTATTTCTTACCACTCTGTGTCTTTAACAGTTTCTTGGTGCAAACAGAAATCTCTGCAGTCTCACTAGATACCCAGTGTCATGATTTAGCTATAAAGCCCTACAAATGAAAAAGCTGTTACAGCTACCCCCCTGAGCAAAGAAGGGATCTGACCATACCAGATTTGACCTGAAAAGTGAATGTTCAGAGGCTAGAAGCAATAAGATCCATTAGAGAACTTTTCAGTAGAAAATGTTGCCTTTGCAAAATTATTATTTCCCCCAGAAATCTAAAGTGAATGTTGTTACCCTGCCCTAATTATTAGCGCTTTCTTAGAGCTGGCAGAGGCACGGTGATCTATGTGTAGAGGCAGGGAGCTCAGAGGGTGGTTGGCTGTACCCTGTCCATGGGCAGGTACTACTTTTCCATATCTCAGCCTGTCTGTTTCTGGAAAAATCAATGGCCAGAAACACCAGAGAAACATAGGGGAGAGGCTTGGGAGAAGAAGAAATGCCTCAAACACTTTTAACTTCTCCTTCATACAGTTTTAACTATGCTTAATTTGGACAACATTCCTGCCTCCTCTAAGCAGTAAGTTATTGCTGAAGTAGGTAGCCAAGAAGACAAAAATTCCTAAATGTAATATTCATCTCGCTACTGTCTACCAGCACTCTAAATGAAATCATAGCACAAGTTACTTTATGATCTGAGGGACCAAGGACAGCAGGGTAACAAACAAGAAAGAACAGGCATACTTAAAAATGGAAAAAAAGCTGAGCAACAGAGAAAGCATGAAACTACAGGTGAGCTTCTAGTCTCAGTTATAGCAGTGTAAGCCCTAAGTCACGTCAGTAAAACTAATGGAGTTGCCTCAGGCTATAAAAAAGCAATTGAGATCAGTTTTCTCATATACTTTGGCATTTTCTGCCTCCTGAGGTACTGACAAAATCCCTGTTCCCTGTGTTCAGGCATTATTAGTTAAAGTGGAGGCCCTTTTGGCATGGCCCACTGCTTCGAAATGTAAAAGAAATCTTCTGCATCAGCACTATTTTCTTCTATTATTCTCCAAGAGGAGTCTGAAATCTCAGCGGTAAAACTGAGTCTATTTGGGTCTATTGAAGTGCAGTTAGTTAAGGGATAAGTTATGAACAAGGAGGTGATGAGGATTCAATGTCTGCTGGCAGGGAAGCCAGTCAGATATTCTGAATTTACTGAGGGAGTCAATGAAAATGGTAAGTGATATGAAGAGGGAATTCTTGCTGGAATATCCTGGTGGGTTTTATTTTCAAGCACTTGGACATCACCAGGACATGGTTAGTGTAAGAAGCACAGTTAATTGGCTGAACCCCAAAAGGACTCTGTAAACGCCAGCACACACATGTATGTTGGGTCAGTGTTTCCCTCCTCAGCAACTGGACTTTGGTACAATCTCATACATAAAGGTAGCAATTTCAAAAAAATTTACTTTTACAGACTGGAGTCTCCACATGCAAAGTTGCCAGCTTGGGGAAGAAATCAACGCACAGTTTGTCCATTATCCTTTTCAAAAGCGTACAGAGAAAAGACAGTTCAAAGGCTGGGATTAATATCCCTGTCTAGAAGATACTGCAAGGATCCAGCTCAACACGAATACAAAAGCTAATTGCTTTGGCTGTCATCATCCTCACTGCTTGGGAAAGTGGCAGTTGGCTGCGTTAGTAGCAGCAGGGACAGCAATGGGGGTTCCCTGGAGCAGCGAGCTGCCTCTCACCAGGCTGGGAGCATGTTGTCATCCAGTTTATCTAGATGCCGGTGAGCACTGATAAGAAAAAACTGACCAGCATGTTAGGCTTCTGCAGGTTGATTATTTTTTATGGCCTTGTTTGTTTGGGAAGTGGTAGTGCTCAGCTTGCTCTGAGGTCCAAAAGGTTGTTTTCCCCCAGGATCCTGTGTTGCTGCTGCTGCTTTAGAGATCAGGGCTGCTCTTATCTTATCCTCCAGTCAGGCGGGCGTTGTTCCTTCAGATTCATGTGTTTGCCACTACGTTGGACTTAGGGTTTTTATTTCGTGCTCGTGTTTGGTTTGGCTCTGTTCACGAAACCAGGTTTGTAACCAAGCAGGAAGGAACAGATACGTGAAAAGCCTGCAAGCATGAGAGGAGCTGCTGAGGAAGCCTAGAACTGGGATAGTCAATTAATCTGAGCTATCGGGGGACTTGAGCTAGTGGCAATATTAGTTAGAAGTGCGATGTGGTAAGCACAAGGCCTGTCGGTCAAACAAGTGGTGCACCTTGCAGAGCAAGTCAGCTGGTGGAGGAATGGCACAGAGATCTTGCCATACCCATGTTAACCTAAAGCTGTCTTTGCATTTAGAGTTACAATAATTTTATTTTTTTAAATAGCATGTGCCAATCTAAACCTGACAGATGTGCCTCTACGTGAGCATGAGCATACATGATCAGGGCAGGGGAGGGAACAGAATCTAGTCTGAAGCTTTTTACCGTAAACTCTAAGTTTCTGTTTCTCAGCACCCCAAGTCTGTAGTGACTGAAGACCTGGCAAGATTTGCAGGTGTGATATAGACAGAGAGGCTGAAAGATGCTATCACATATAAGCGAACAATTTTTTTTTCCAAAGTAAAGAGGAATCACATCCAAAGAGATATGCATTGCCATTTATAGAAAATAATTTATTTTTACCTGTAAATGCTGACACAAAACATTATGGAAGGAAATAAAAAAAGTTAGGAGCAATCTCCTGGGAACGAACTTAGTTTTGTTTTTTATGAAACATTTTCAGATCTGAATATTTAAAGTAAATTGCTTAGATAAGTATGTCAGGATGCTGCACTTGCCATGAAAAACATCTCCACACATCATCTCAAGTAACTAACATGCAGAATGTGGATCAAGGCTTTTGTGTGGCTGTTTTTCCAGTGTTTTGTAATGGGTCTTCCAAGTACTCCTTTAAAACAAAATAATAACACACCCCATCCAGACAGCAGTTCAGGTTTGCCCAGCAAAGTGTGACCTGAACGGTGTCTCGTAGCACTTGCTGAAAACTGGTGTGAATGATGTTATTCTTCACCAAAAAGTACACTAAGTATGCCACGTGGTAAGGTGTGAAGCAGACCAAAAATGCCACAAGGTTTGTCACAACTATTTTTTCTGCTCTGGTGGTGTGTGTTTGGGGGTTGTCTGTTTTTCTGTGCTTTCTCAAACACTTGACAGTCTGAACAGTGCAGAATGTCATGGCTGCCATGCTGCCAAAGAAGGTAGTCTCTAAGGCGCTGAACAGGCCTTTGTTTTCCCACGTGCTCTTGGAGAAGTTATGGAAGCAGGATGAGATGTTGTTGCCCTCTTCGTGTAGCTGGAAAGTAGAGACTGTCCCGGCTGAGATGCCCAGGCAGATGACAGCACAGACCATAGCAGCTTTCTTGGTGGATCGCATGGCGGGAGCTGCGAAAGGGTGCTGGATAGCGATGTACCGGTCCACGCAGATGCAGAGGGAGATGAGGATGCTGCCATACATGTTTGCAAAGTAAAGACTCTCCAAGGTGGAGCAAACCACAGACCCCAAGTTCCACTTGTCCTGAAGGTGGTAGGAAATTATTTTAAAAGGAAGAGTAAACAGCAGCAAAGTATCCAGGAAAATAAGGGCTATCATGTAGACTGCAGATTCTGACAGCTTTTTAACCTTAAAAAACAGGAATGACAGAGCCATCACATTGAACAGCAATCCCAGGATAAATGTGGGGGTGTACATGATGAGCTGGAACAGTTCCACAGTGGTGCTGATATTGCTCTCGGCACGGGTGTCATTCATATCTGCAGGTTTGCTGGAAGAGAAGATCATCACCTTCACCTCAGGAAAGAATGAAGATCACATTTTAGAACCTGTACAAAGGCCAGCGAGGTCTCTATGTGTCCACAGACCTGCAGATGCTTTTTCCTCTTGGGCTGCTGCATGCTAAATTGCAGGGCAAGGTTGTGCCTCAAGGAAGAGCAAGGCTTTCGGGTGGCCGTGCTTCACTTGCATCTTACCTGTCACCCCAAACTGTGCTGCCCTATAATTTAGGCTATGCAGACTATAGATGTGACTGCACCATCCCCTTGGAGTGATGCAAATCTCTTTGCAGAGCCAGGGTAGCAGCCCCTAGTTTTTAAGGTTAGTTGGATTTTGGGGAGGCAACTACTTGTATCAGATTTCCTGAATCAAGCTATTGTAAGAGACCTTGGGGAGCCAAGAGCACAAGGGTCTCTCATGTTTATTAATATGAAGATCCCAAAGAGTCATCACCTCTCCCACCCCCACTGGGCAAAGAGAGGCTGTGATTACCTCTGGCCTTTCTGACAAGCTCACTAAAAGCAGCAGGCAGGAAGTTTCAAACAGGCTATTTCTAGCAGAGGTTAAGTCTTCAGAAGAAGAATGAGATTTAAGAACCCAAGCTTTGTCTAACCCATACAGACTTACCACAGTGAATAAATTTGTGTCTGTAGAGAAAAGGGTTGCAGCAAACATGCAGCTGGTTTCTCCTCTGCCAAGATGGGACTGAAAACATTAAGGTAGGCATCCTCTGAGTGAGGGTCATGAAGTAATTTTCTTCTTTAGAGGAAGAGTGCTGGTTTGATCCTGCCCTCAGACTCTCCTGATAAGGACTGGGAAGGCTCTCATTGGCTTCTGCAGTGCTGGTCTCAGCCCAAATTGCTTACAAATGCAAATGCTCAGGGATACCTGGTCCTTTCTTCCAGCCAGTTCTGTCACAGCAAATGTAACCTGTAAATAAAGCCTTTCAAAGATCTGTCAACACACAGAAATTACTTTCATCTGCTGTTCTGTAACTGTTGTTACTTCGACCTAGTGCCTTTCCTACATGAGTTACTGATCTTGATGCTGATTCATTTCAGATCATTTCAGATTTGTCAACTGGTCATCAACTGTGCAGTAAAAGTTCCTGTTCTGCAGACCAAGTCACTCCCCCAGTGTTTCAGAGGTAAGCTCTCGTGTGCTGTGGTTTGAGAGAGATTAGGATCAGCAAAAAGGAAATTTATTTCTTACTTAAAAACTAGCAATTATTGCTAAGAAGCAAGAGCAGCTTGGCTGTTTGCTTCTTAAGGACACAATGATGCCGTGTAAATGATTCTGCAAGTTACTAGTTTACATTATAGAAATGAGAAAAACAGCTCCAGATGAGGAGAATGGGGTCCTGGCAGGGCTGTGGGTGCAGGACAGCATACCTCTGACGGGTTCAGGTGCAGGGATCCGTCCGCTACTTCTGTGTAGCAGGCACAGGTTTTATTCAGGTCCCCATGCAGGCGGTGCTGCTGGCTGTGCAAAGCACTTAGCGTCTGTCCTTGCAGAGCACTGCTGCCCGTAACGCATGGGGGACATGGCTCAGTGGGGCAGTGACCCTGTCAGCAATGCCTGCTCTGCTGCTCTCTGCGCAGGACTGAGGGTAGCTGAGGGGAAATAATGAAATTCCCTTGTCCAAATAAAAAAAAAAAGGACAGGAAAGCCTGAGTTTGGGAAGTGTTTGGGCATCTGAGTAGTTCGAGGGCAGGAACACTCCTTGTTATGCTGTATGTTGTTCGCTGCCTTGGAGTTAAACCTTCCTGCAGCCACGGGAATTTTGTTGGGAGCTGGGCTGGGTCCCTGAATGTCTGATTTCAGGTGGCCCATGGCAGATGAGGGGTTAATCTGATGACCTGGGCAGAGATTCTGCCTGGTACAAGAGAGTGGCCTAGGCTGGGCAACCCAGTGTGCTGCTCTCCTGCTGAGTCCTCTTCACTGGGTGAAGCACAGTGAGTCCAGCCCTGGGAGGAAACCCCTTACTGAGAGCCAAAGGGATGAAAAGTTAATTAAGGAACTACTGAAAAGTAATAAATATTGACAAAGTTCTTTACTTCTTTGCCTCTGTAGGAGATACCATTAGTCCTTTTCAGTTGTTGTTTTTTTTTTTTTTGTTTGATGGTGTGTCTAGAGAAAATTTCAGCTTCCTACCGTGATTTTTACCTGAGAATAATCTAGTTATGATAAAAAGGCATTTTAGACTAGAGTCTGCTGTGTAGATTTATAAACAAAACTGAAAAAAAATATTTAAGGCATAAATGCAAAGGGTAAATCTGTTCATTCTTAAAAAAAATAGTATGTAGCTATGCTATAAGCAAAACAAGTTCTGTAAAATATGCTTCATTTTCAGATTGTGTAGCAAGAAGAAAGTTTTTAAGGCAAGGTTTCACAACAATTAAATATTCTCTTGTCATCTTACCTTTGGGCTGTTTCTGGCTCTGGTTGTTGACTTTTTCTCCTTCTCAGCTCGTAGATTTCTTGAGTCTTACGTTTTCTTTCAAGGCGGTGGAGTGAGCTGCATGCAAAGTAACTGCTGGTCAGGATGTCAGAAAGCATGAAGTGCTGCTGCTTTTTGTTTCATCACATGTTTCCATTACCACATCGGTCTCCCCGCACTGCGTCTGCATGCACGCACTATGTACATAGTTTGTCACACAGGGCTCATTTAAGGATGTAAATACACGGCTTTGTGGGGCTAGCATCTCTGAGTCACCCATTCAAACCAGTCTCCAGTAACAGAGAAGGAAATTCTGGCTCTACAGACCTTTCTCAGATTTTTTTTTCTGCAAGATGTGATTTTATTCATTGTGTGTAACATCTGTGGGTGGAGTGTTAGCTGTCAAAATGTGCTTTAAGCTAAATGCTGAGTTATCACTGTCATTGTTTCCCTTACTTTTCATGATACCGAAAAGGAGAAAAAGATCATTGCTTTTCAGTGGTGATCTGATATGTTCGCTTCAAGTTGGTATTTTAAAAAAATGACAGGGATTACTCTTGAATCTGTTTATACTCCCAGGGAGCAGGCAATGTACCCATGGGGAATGTCAGGTGCTGATTTTGTTCAGGGGGCATGGAAAAAAAAGATTTTTTTGCACATTGTATGTGTGTTTGCAATCTTCTTACCAAAGGGGGGAAGCAAAGGCAGAGGGGTAGTTTTACTTGGTCCTCTGCATACCCCTATAATATCCAACCTAGGGATTGTATTGGCTGATTTCGAACCATGCATCCGTGAAAGAGAGGGAGGGCAGGAGACAAGAGAAGAAATAGTACTTGGGGTTTCTCTGTGGTGTTTTAGTTGAAATGACTTGAGAAAAAAAAAAAAGGAACACCACCAAGGAGAAAGAACGTAATAGAAGGTCTGAGTGAACAATACCTCATAGCATCCCTCAGCCAGGTTTCACTTCTGTGTATCCAGTGGTGGTCTTGTGACCATGACTGCATTTTGGATATTAATTAAAAGCCTGCCACAACACAGGCAGCCACCACTGCCATGATGAGGCATTTGGGGCCTGAGCCAGCCTGGGTGGTGGGAACCCAGGCTGCTGTAGGCATGGGACGTAAGCCCAGCTGCCAGAGTGCGCTCTGTGCTCCTGCCCTCGTTTGGGGTTTGCACATGCCAGTTCTGATACTGCCACCAATGCTTAGCACAGATGTTCTCTGTTCCCCATTCAAGGTTTTCCTTTCACACACTTGGAGCTTTCTGTTCTCTCTCATTTTCTCTTTGATACTTGTATTGTCATGCCACCTAAGCGCTGCCCACCTTGCCAGAGGCTGCCTGGCAGCATGCCTTCCTGCTTGCTGCACAAAGCCCTCTGTGGGGCTACGTGTCTGGAGAATGATGCTTTGGAAAGGGGAGGATAAGGAAGCAATGATGCCAGGTCTGGCACGTCATAATTTAGCCATCACCAGCAGTTAGTCTGGTTTTTTTTCCAGCAAACATCCTTGTGAGTTTTTTAGGGAGGCAGCTGAGGAGAAATGGCCAGGAAGGCATGCAGGGGATACAAATGCACTTGGGGTCAGGTGTGAAGGCTCCTCTCCCTTCAAAACTGAAAGGATGAAAAAGGATGATGCTGAGGGTTGATGGAGAGGGGGAAATGAAATGGAGCGAGCAGTGTAGTGGAAAGGCTGGGCAAGTCCATAAGGGACTCTCAGACTGTTGATTCAAAGCTTAACTGGCAATGCAGGGGTGAGAAAGCTGTGGGCAGCCAAGGTGCCTTTCTTTTCTTGCCGCAGACCCTGCTCTGTGCTAATGGGATGTGACTCTTCATGAAGTCCTCAAGACAAAGTGTGCTCTCCCTTTTCTTGCAAACTGGAGAGAAGAGGCCCACACCATCTGCTCTGTCCTTGGCACCTCTGTGCATACCACTGATGCCACCAGGGTGTGAAGCACCTGCTGCTTCATGCGATTTCAGATGCTGAATGCATCTTGTTCCTTTTTCCTGATGAAGGAGCTGTTTTACATGATTTTTTTTTTTTTTTTTTTTTTTTTTTGCTAGTATAGCGGACCTTGCCATATCACTCCTGATACACAGACCTCCCCTTCAGGCCATGCACACATCACTGGGTGGCAACCAGTGAAGTTCTGCTGATTCCCTGTGCTTGCTCTTGGGGCCAACCTCCTCCTCGCAGTGCCAGGCTGTGCCAGACATCTCAAGGCACTGCCGGTCCATTGTTGTGCCCTGACACTGGGCTGCGCTGCAGAGAGCAGCACCACGGTCCTGGCTCTTCAGCTGTCAGTCCTTGCTCTCAGGAAATGTCAGTGTGGGGCTGGTGCTGCTGATGCCCTTCCAGTTTAGGAGTTAAATCAGTAACCATTGCACCACACAGGGTTCTGCCGTGGAGACATGGTCATTTTTCTTGATCTAAATTGGTCTAACCAGTGAGAAAAATACTTGCTCTGCTTGAGAAGAGAGAGCATCCACTGCTGTGATCCCCTTGCTTTCTTCCTTGATTTCCCCCAGATGCCTTTCAAGTCT